GGTGGTCAGGAAGGTGGGGGGTAGCCCAGGGCCCATTATTTTTTCCACTGCACTTTCTAATTTATTTTAGGGAGAGTGGAACATACATTCCTTGGTTGCTTCTTGTCTGTGCCCCAACTGGGGATCGAACCCGAAGTTCTAACCAGCTGAGCCACCCGGCCAGGGCGAGCCATCGCCATCGTTACTTATGATCAGTCCTTCTACCCATCAGATTCCTTCAGTGTCACCCACACACACCATGTCCCCAAGGTCCTCTCAGTCCCCTTCCTGTGTTCCCCAGTCCCCTTAGGTCCCCCTGGCCCTCTCAAGCCCCTCAGTAGCCCCCCACCGTGTTCCCCAGGCCCTCTGTCCCTCACCTTGCTCAGTGAACCCCAGCTCCCTTAGACCCCCTGTACCCCAGATCCCCTTCCCCCAACAAGCCCCTGGGCCTCCTGAGCCTGGGTCCACCCTATCTACCAAGGGAAGTAGCCTCTGTCTGGAAACCATGGGGGGGCCTGGTGGGAGGACCCCTGGAGCAGGCTTGTGCACCCCAGCTTGGCTTCCCCCCACTTGTGACCCCAGGACACTCCTTTGGGTCTTACATCAGCCTCATAGTCCCTCTGACGGAAGTCCCCTGGGGAGGGGCTGGCCTGGGCAGTTCCCTGGGGAGAAAGGGGAGGCAGTGAGAGGGAAGAAAGTACCCCACGCACCTCTCCTTCCGGGGCGGGTGAGGCCGCCCACAAAGGCTGACCGCCAGGTCCTTTGAGGCCACAAATGACTGTCTCCCTGCTGCCCAGCTCAGAGGTAACACACCCTCCCACTGGGACCATGGCCACCAGTAAACAAAGCCATCCTTGTGGATGTCTCCAACAGCTGCTGGCTACACCAGGCGCCCAACACTCCCACGGCCCTGCCTGGGCTTCCCTGCGGCGCCTCCAGGGCCTGCCTCCCACCTGGCCATAGGCCCCCACTGGGCTCACTGCTCCATAATGTGGCAGGAACACCCTTGGCTGAGGGTGGGGACCTGCAGGCCTCCCCACCCAGCCCTGTGCTGCAGCAGCAGCCATAGTCCTGAGGCTCAGGCCCAGGGACCACAGGGAGGGTCCTACTGTCACATTGCCAGCCAGTGTCCACCTCAATGGGGCAGGGCAGACAACCTGGTGCCACAAAGAGCTCTGGGGCTCACACCTGCGAGGGCGACACACCACTACTGTTTCTCTAAAATGGGGGTGCCATACTGAACTGCCAGCCCTGTGGGCATTGGTCACAGGGAGTGGGGCCTTTCCCAGTAGGGTCTCAGGCCACACAGCCTGGGGAGGAAGGAGGGCTTTGACAGAATCCTCCAGGACTTTGCTTGCACTGGGTGGAGGCAGGGAATCTGAGTTTCTTCCTTTCTCAGTGATTCATGGCAACTCTGCTACGAGGCCCAATGGCCTCTCTTCTGCATTGCCAGGGCCTGGCCACAGCTGCTGGGGCAGTTACGCTAGCTACACTGTGAGGACCCAGGATGCCACATGGTGACCCAGGGTACCTCCCATGCCATGGCCTGTGGTCAACAGAAGCCAGGCTCACCTTCCTGGCCGGTTTGCAGGGGACAGGCCTGGTCCCAGAAGCCCCACTGGGCCCAAACTGCACTTTGACATGGTGACTGCAATCCTGAGGAGCCAGCTGCAGACCACTCTCCCGGGGATGCAAGGGGGAATGTGTAACTGGCGGGCCGCCTGTCCCCACATCCCCATGGCTTACCCGCAGATGAACAGTTGCTGCAGTGACGTGCTGCAACACCGCAGTATGCCACAATACCCTGCCTGGTGTGTGTATCGCAGGTCGAGGGCCGGGAAAGAGGAGCAACGAGGTATTGCCCCAACAGCCTCACACTGGGGCACAAGGGAGGGTAAGAAGTTTACTGAAAAAAGCAGAATTGAGAGAGGCCCATTGGCCACCACCAGGAAGACTGGCCAGGGCCGACCTAAGGGTGTGATCTATCCTTTTTAAGACATTACAAAAAAATAACACAAGTGTACTGTTGATAAGGCCATACGTTAAAGGTGCCGCCTGTAATTTAACTTTTTTCCTTCGTAAGTTTTGCCCTCCCCCACGCCCCAGACGTAAACAGATAAAAGTAAAGGCACTTGTCCGCCCAGGCGTGCCGATCCGTGGTTGTGTTGGTGGGCACCAGAATGCCACTGGAGTCAGACCAGACCTGGATTCAGCAACCTCGGTACTTGAAAGAATTCAGAGCCAAACTCAAATTATAAAAGAAAACTTATTTAGAAAGTCACAGAGGAAGAAAAAATGGGCTCAGGACAGAAATTATAGAAGCAAAAGGGCCTTTGGAGTTTAGGATAAAGGAAGGCAAAGGTAACTCGCCTGGGGGGGCGGGAGGAGAACCAGAGACCGAGGGGAAAGGTGAGGGCTGGGTCCTGCGTCCCAAAGGCTTGTAAGGGCGGGGCTTTTAGGGGAAGTCCCAGGGGAGGATCGCCCTAGAATGTTCCTCAGCTTTCCAGGTGCGTCCTTCAGGGTGGGGGTCTCTACTGATTGGTGGGGCCGGGGGACTGTTAGTCAAGGCAGCTGGTTCTGATGCCAGGCAGGGAGGGCATCGCTGGCTGGTTTGGCTGCTTTCCTGGGCGGGGAGCTGAAACACAACTGAGGCCTAGACCTGTTTGATGTGGGTCAGAGCCTCAACCTCCTGGGGCGTAATTAAAGCCTAAGGGCTATTCTCTGCCCCCCCCCTTGTTCATTCCCCCTCTAAGGGGGTGTAACCCACATGACTAGCAACATGCCAGGGGAGGAAAGGGTCAGGAAAAGTCCGGGACAGCGTGACCAAGGATAAGAAAGGTCAAGGGGTCTAAGCCGCATGACCAGCCATCCGCCGGCGGAGGAAAGGTCACCCTGGGGAGAGGTCCTCGTTGCGGGCCCGGAGCTTTCCGCCCCGGTGACTGATCTCCCCTACCTGGCCCAGCCTCCGCCGGGCAGCAGCGCGGAGCTGGGCGGCCGCCTGCGCCCCGGGGGGTC